GTACGTACGTACGTACGTCGTCTCTCTCTCTCTCTCTCTCTCTCTCTCTCTCTCTCTCTCTCTCTCTCTCTCTCTCTCTCTCATACATATATTGTTTTGAGACTCAGACTTAGCAAACAACTACATTGCGAGGTCTCTGCCTGAATCCTACGATCTGAATAAGGGTTTAAATTTAACTTACCATCATTAGTGGAAGAGAAGTTGTAGCAGACGACGCCGACGTCTTCATGGTGACCACAGTTGTAATTTCCCCGTCCTCGGTACGAGCAGTCAAACAGGATACTCTCCGTCCCAGTGCACCTTAGGTCATTCATGTAGATTCTCCCAGAGCCTACCGTGCAACACAAAATGCAAATAACAACCATGATTATGCCTTGATATACTCACTTGTCTGTAGGTAGGTTTAGTGCAATTTGCTAGTGTAAGCATCCAAAACTATACCATGACATGGATATGATAAGTAATTAGACGTCTATGATCATCAGTAATTTCGTCCGGATTGTCTCTTGAAGGAGCTGTCAGGAGTATTTCTCCAGTACTGTACAGAGGACTGGTTAGTATATGAATACAATACCTTGTCCATAATACGCTGAGCCATGATATGCGGACGCCCCCGTATATCCCAGCATCCTACAGACAACCCTGGCCTCCTTCATGCCGAATGAGTCGTCACAAACGGTCCCCCATCTCATTCTGTAACTGTTGGGCGGCCGAACCTCCACACGACCTTCGTGCGGTCCAGATCCTCCGACCAACCGGATTCTGTTGGCTTATTGAAAAAAATAATTTTAATCTTTGACTGAACAACAGTGCGTCCATTGCAGAGAGAAGTTTGTCAGATTAGCCTATTTACTTAGTATTGTCTCCATAAGTCATTTATTTGTGATGCGCTGTTATCACGGTGCTGTTATACACTCTTAGCATTTGTGTTTCTATAAGATGTTTGAATGTATCTTGATTCAACTACACAATATAGACAAAATTCTCTAACGTTCCTCTACTTCTGCTGTAGTACCTTAATCCCTTGTTGTTTTTTTCGACTTTGAGTACATTGAAACACTGCATCGCGAAATCTCTATACCTGAATTCTACTAGAAATGAATAGAACCTTACCATTTCCAGGTCTAGATGTTTGGGGTAACAGAGGAAGAGTAAGAGGCAACGCCGTAGTAGCGTTAGAAGAGGTGTAACTTGTTGGAAGTCAAACTAGTTAGATCATTCTAACTTCTGAAAGACGGTAAAAATTGACCAAATGGACAGATAACATGTCAGTAGAGTTAGTCCGCTAATTAATCAAACGCCGCTTATCTAATGGATGTGATCAAAGGTACACTATTCCGTCACAATGTTCTCACCTAGGCAGGCACACAGTCGCGAATGCGTGGAGTTCCCGATGCAGTCGGAGCCGCCGTTTCGTGGAGGCGGAGTGATACACTGGCGGGTACGATGGACTCTATTTGTCACGCAAGACGCGTCACCACAGGTGCAGTAGCTATGGCATGTCGCCCAGCTGCCCCAGTTCGACCATTGACCGCTTACTACAGCACCTGGATCTGACGTTAAGAATTCAAGAGAATGTGGTTTGGAACAAGTGAAATATCATGTTATAAAAATGCAAATGCATAAATTTTGATAAAGGTAGACCACAGACACAGTAGAAAATCATGCATGGAAAAGGTGAATTAGTATCTGATGACAGGATACTGACGAATCATAAGCAACTACAAGAACATCAAAACCAATGAGAGTTCTTTAAATACGGGTATAGCATTTTCGTAATCACGCAATTCTAAGCGGCGTTGGAATGCAACAGCACAATTCAAGAACTGTATTTTTTTTACCTGAATTTTCTTTCTTGCTGCAAATTTCGCGTAAGGACATAGTACAATGTCGACAAAAATGTACAGAAAACGAAATAATTACCGACACAGCTGACTGTAACGCGACTGTTTGGAAGGAAGTCGGTGCCATCGGACAAGTACCAGGTCCCCGATGTGCTGTCTGCGAAGATACTCGAGTCCCTAGGTAGGTACATTGCCTTCACATCACTCCCCAGACCTGGGCCAACATGCCAGCGTACCGCCCCTTGGGTGTAGTAGTAGAGGAAGTCTCCACGTGAGGATCTATACACCGGACGATCATTGAAAAGATTTCCAGTCATGGTGTAGGTTGTCATCCGCGATGTCTGATCCGTAGACGACCCAGCAATACGGACAGTCCGACAGCCTCCTGTAACAATGAATGATAGAAAGACTATCAGTCTTTGGTATATGGTATATGGTTTTATGTTACGGATGAAATACAAGGACAAAGGATAAAAGGATCGGTAATTAAGGACTCAATTTTCGAATATTTGAAGCGTACTGACGTGTCTCTCTCTCTCTCTCTCTCTCTCTCTCTGCGAGGTTTCTGTCTGAATTCTACGATCTGAATAAGGGTTTCAATTTAACTTACCATCACTAGTGGACGAGGAGGTGTAACAGACGACGCCGACGTCTTCATGGTGACCACAGTTGTAATTTCCCCACCCTCGGTACGAGCAGTCAAACAGGCTACTCTCCGTCCCAGTGCACCTTGGGTCATCCATGTAGATGTTCCCAGAGCCTACCGTTTAACACAAAATGCAAATTTCAACCATGATTATGCCTTAATGTACTCACTTGTCTGTAGGTAGGTTTAGTGCAATTTGCTAGACTGAGAGAAAGCATCCAAAACTATACCATGACATGGATATGATAAGTAATTAGACGTCTATGATCATCAGTGATTTCGTCCGGATTGTCTCTTGAAGGAGCTGTTAGGAGTATTTCTCCAGTACTGTACAGAGGACTGGTTAGTATGTGAATACAATACCTTGTCCATAATACGCTGAGCCATGATATGCGGACGCCCCCGTACTATCCCAGCATCCTACAGAC